GTTCAAAAAAAAATTTACTGTAATTTTGCATTAGCTGAACCTTACATCCGCATCAAGATAATTAAGAGTAAGTGATTCAAGATGATCAAGTGATGAATTGATGAAAAATAACGAGAAGAAATGTTTATTTTCTATTGGTAAATATAAATCAAATGAAAATATTCGATGTTTGTTGATAAGTGTAATTTGTTTACAGATGTTCGTATATAATTTATTCGATGGTGAATCAATTTTTATTTTAAATAAAAGAGATGAAGAATTAAGTAATTGTTGAAAACGATAATTAAGATTTGAAAATGCATTATATATATGATAACCATCAAGATAATCGAATATTTCATAAAAACATTCATTGGATAAATTTTCAATGAAATTTATCAATACTCTATATGAAAATCAAAAAATATAAACATTAAATTCCTTTATTTGTTATAACTTACGTTTCTTGAATATTGTTAACCTTATGTTGTAAATTCTTTTTTTCTTTTTTATAAGATTGATTTGAACGTAATTTTCGTTTGACTTGGTTCATATCTTTTATTTGAAAATTCAATATGATCTAAAAGAGACATATGTATGTAAACAAATGTTTAGTTATTCTTTATTAACGAAATAGAATGAAATACCAAATACATCCAATGAATCATCGATTATTCTTTTCTTTAGTATATATCGAATATGAAATCATTCTTGAATGAATTTATAATTGGATAAGATAGATAACCATTCTCTTTTACTATGAATTAATAAAACAAACAAACATGATCGACAAATGATCCCCTCTTCTATTATCATTAAGTGGTATTTGAATAAAAAATCCGAGATGAATTTAACGTTGAAAACGATGTCTCCATGCAAATAACTATTTAAATTTAAGACAAATCCTTATAATATTGAGTCTTATACCAACATATCGTAATTATCTTATCCTTCGATGTTTATTCGACAATATAAACGAGTATTTTCACTTCTTTTATTTTTATTAGTATATGAACAAAATTTTGGTAATCCATGTAGACGCAAATCTATTCACAATAAAGGAAAATAGAGATAAAAATCTCTTGAATGAATCATTCTTTTCTTATTTTACAAGACGCCTCATTTTTGCAACAATTAACTCTTGTTGTATTAACAGATTTTGAATTTTCATGTGTAGTATGAGAAATATTTTTGTTATTACTACATATTAGTTGTTAGTTCACTGTTAAATGTAATAGATGTTTCAAGATCTGTGTTTTTGCAAAGACTTTCTCGTGGCAAAAATATGAATTTAGTAGTTCCACGTTTATCTTTTATTGTGCTGTTTTTTTGCATTCATCTTATAATTGAGGTTTTCCATTTCGATTTTTCACGTTTTTCTTTCGCTTAATTGTTATCGTATGAAAAAAAAGAAACATTTTATTAAGATTTCTTTTTTATGTTATTGTCCATTTTGAATAAAATAGATTCAAAAACCAGGGTGTAGGTGTGAGTGTTCTCTTTCACGTAATATACACCCTCACCCACACCCTCAAGATCAAATGAAGACTTGTGCAGCATCTAAAAATCAAAGTATCAGAATATTCCGATAAATCATATTATTTTCGAAAGTAGATAATGAAGACTATCAAATCATATATAAATTTCAAAAAATGCTTTTGTTTTTTTTGTTCTGACGAAACATCACAATTTTTGACAGATAACATATTCTATCTTTTGGTTTTTTGTTTTGATAAACATACTCATAAGTTGATTATCATTTAAAACTGATTTTCAAATAATTCTAAGAAATCAAATTAGGAAAAAAACGAGATAAACTAAAGAAATTCAAGAATTCTTCGTTTTGAACTGTTTTAAATAGTCGTCCGATATCTGTAACATCGGAAAAAGTCGTCTTTCGTGTTTGAAAGAAAATTTGACGTATGATATATTGTGAATAGATGGAAGGAATAATTGAATTCAACTTTGAGTTTTTTCCGAACACAAATGAAACTCAACAGATAATTCTATGTAATACTGAATGAATCGTTTTTAGAAAAATTTCAACAACATTATGGGGATGTAAGTGTTGGTGTTTGTGTAGGTTTTCTCTTCATCCACACCCTGTTTCAGTTTAAAATGTATTTTCTCAATAATTGTGATTCTTGATCTATTGTATCTCTCAACGATATGATTCATGTCTTCTGTTTTTACTTTAATATTCGGAATTTTTACTAGATAATATAAATAATCTGTACAATAGGATATTTTTCTTAAAGAAAATTGAGATTGATATTAACATGACTCTTGTCTTATTTCTCGTGACTGATGTTTATATTTAAAAACATATTCGATATTCGACATTATTGATACAAATCTATTGAATAAAAAGGTGTATGTGTAATATAATGACATGAAGGTAAACGTTCGTTTTTTTCGTTTTTCTTTTTCTATGCTGGAAAAAAAACGTGATAAATTGATGTTATCATAAATATTAATTTCAATGATAAATCACCTTCTTATTAAATATTTTGTATGTTATTAATCATCGAAATCATTATTATTTATATAAAATCAATATGATATTCATAAAAGTAAATATTCTTAGTATACTTTTATTGCTTTTGTTTGTTCAAATTTGCTTGACTGATGGAGAAACTGGTTACATAGAGACATGTACTTGTTTGAAAGAATCATCTAATGGAAATTATTGTGCAGAACAGTCGTGTACTGCTCAATATAAATACAATAAATGTTTCAGTGGTCGAAGTACAGTTCGAACACGTGATGGAAAAGATATTTCTCTTTCAAATATACAAATTGGTCAAGAAGTTTTAGTATTCTATCGAAATAAACTCATCTTTCAACCAATTTATGATATAATTCATAGAGAAAATACTAAATTTTATACATTTATTCATTTAACTGTATTTAATCATTATGAAAATTTAACTCATTCAATTGAAATATCATCAAAACATCTTATTTATAAATATGGATTATTAGATCCTGTTTTTGCTTCACAAATTCAAATTGGTGATTATCTTCAATTAGTTAATCAATTTAAAATTATTCCAGGAAAAGTTATTCAAATAGATGAGATTATATCACAAGGTTATAGTGCTCCATTAACACCTTCTGGTACTATTGTTGTTAATAATATTGTTAGTTCAAATTATGCTGAAGCACGAAATCATCATCTTGCTCATTTAGTAATGCAACCTTATCGATGGTGGAGAAATATTTTCGAATCAAAGAAAACCATTCAAACAGATCTTAATTGGTATATTTCGATTTTATATTATTTTGCAAATAAAACAGGTTTTTTAAATATTCTATGAAAATAAATTCTTTTGTTTTTTTTTATTCATCGTTACTCACGAATTTTTTCTTTTCTTTTTTATTGCATTAAACAAGAAATTGAAAGTTTCATCTAAGATTGGTGTTTTTTTTTTAAATAAATTGAAATTAAATCTTGGCAATTATGCATAGAAAATATTCAGGAGACGAATTTTATTTTATACAAATTTTAATAATTACATAACATAATAAAAAACATGATAGAAAGGGTGTGAGTAAGGATGTATTCTCCTTCACACTGACACATCTTCTGCGTGTATTAATCCTTTCTTCAATAACATTAAAAATGATTTGTTTTTCACATTTTCTTATTAAACAATGTATCAGTATTGAAATGATTAAGGACAATTACCTCGTCAATACATACGAAAATGTTAAAAATACTGATGAAGAAAGTGCTTCGACTGTTTCCGAGCTTTTCGCTTCATCTTTTGGTCATAAATAGGTTCCAATAAGACTAGAAATGGTCTAAAAGCGTTCGTGCTCATGGCTCTTCCCTCTTAGGATATGAGCAAACCTTGATTTCGATCATTTGATTACTTTCATAAGAGCGAGATCCAGTTATCAGCTCTTTTCGTATGAACTGACACTCCTGAACACATCATTTTATCCAACTAATTGAGGTCATTAGAAACAAAAAAATTATAAAAAAAAAGACTATTTTTTTTGGCATAGATTGACTTATTATATCTCAGGAGAGCAGAGCCATGTGTAAGAACGCTTTTAGAATTTTCTTAGTCTTATATGACCTTACTTATAGCCAAACGATGAAATTAAAAGCTCGAAAACCGTTTAGGTACCTTTCTTGTGAGAAAACGTAATAAGGAGTAATTAAGCTGAGTTACGTCGTAAACTACATGCAGAAGCTAGTCTTCTGTGTTTAAATTAATTAGAATCCAACTATGTTAAGTAAAGTTTCGTTCAATCTTCTAAGTATTCTTAAATATATAGAAATATTTCAAGAATTGAGAGATAATGGCAAAACAAGCAGAATATGTGACAGTTTCATATTAGCTAACTGGATTAGTCTCAATCGTTCAATTCTTTTCAAATGAGCTGAAGTTACTGAACATTTCATTTTATATCGCCCATTGAGGTTTATCATAAACCAATTTGAAATCAAATAAGCTGAATTGGAATCCTATTAGTAGTATACAATGATGTGGATGTGGAAGATACGAAAACCTACATCCTTCTATGCGATACTGAATGAATCGTTTTTAGAAAAATTTCAACAACATTATGCACCTATAACATCTGTCTGGTTTTAATTAATAACATGATGTCTATTTTCCAGATATCTCGGTATGACGACAAGTTTTCGAAAAAATCCTTTCTTTTTTGAATATTGTCCTAAACTCGCCTTCATATGTTAACTTGAATAAATAATTTCAGGATTTTTAGACTTTGTATCTCCAAAAGATGAACTTTTCAAAATATTCTTCTATGAGAAAGTAGAGGAGCTGTCAATCCATTCAATTCATCAGCATATTCAATCATGTAGAATTTTGACATGAATAAACATTTTTTTTTCTCATGTTTTCATTGTATTTCTCTGTTTTTTTATGTACTCAATAAGTTTTATTAATGAACATACATGTTACATTGATTATTAATCTACTTTATTAGATAGAAATAATTGTTATTATTGTCGTATATGAAATGATTATTTAAAATGTCTTGACGATATTTGGTGAGATTATTACCACGAAATTTGAGAGTACCATATTGACTTTTGTATTGTTGGATACTGTGAAGAAGATTAATTTGACGTTGTTTTTCTGCATCTGAATCTATTTCCTTATCGTTGAGTTTCATGATTTGATCATGAATAGAATGTAAAGCATTGCATTGATCCGCAACTTGTCTAAATACAGATTCAGTACCGAAATAGTTCTTCTCGTGGCATTGATCAGCTAGATTTTGAGCTTGTTTTGCCTGGATTTCTTCTTGTTTAAATGTTTCCATAGTTAAATTAATGTCATTTCTAGCAATACCTTGATTCGCAGCTTTTTTTATATGTCGATTCATTTCTATTCCACGAGATTGAATATTCTGTTTACTATTGAGAAGAGATCAAAGCATATGAAAATTTTCATCATCTAAGCGTTCTTTTTGTAATGTTGGTGCAACTACTTGTAATTCTAAAATATGATCAGCATCACGTCTTACTGTTTCAACAGCATCATGATTTCTATATTGATATTGTCGAAGATTTTCTGCATGCAAATGGGAAGTGCCACTTTGATTCCAATGCATAGAGGAAATTTTTGAACGATCTGTGATATTCATATCGAACATTTTCGATTGGAATATACTATATGGTATATCTCTATGTCGTCTTAAACGATTTTTCTCGTCGAAAAGACCAGTTTTCATTGCTTCTTGTCCAGCAGGAGAATTCGGATCTTGCAATTTTCCATCAGAAGTCAAATTGAGCTGATAATCAGGGTTCCATTTAAATGACTTTTCATTCTCTTTGAATTGTTTATATGCCGTTGACATTTCTTGTTTTGACGAATATTGGCCACGATGAAGATGTTGAAAAAGATTCCACTGTATTGAAGGTCTTGATTTTTGATTGTATCTGCGTTGTGGAAGATTGGTAGCTAATGTTTGGTTTTCTGTAGAAGATGAAACAGTTTTATCTTCATTTTTTATTTGTGAATCTTTGACAAATTTACTAGTAACATCGTTTAACATTTTATCCTGCTTTTCAGTGTGAGGAGTTTGATTTTGAGATTGTTCATCTACTGTTGTCGATGATTGATGAACAGAATTCTGAGCATCATTTTCTTCATGATATATATCAGCTAATTCTGATGATGTTTTTCCTTCACCTGCATGTTTATGTTGAAAATCATTCCAAGCATTTTCTTCAGTTGATTTATTGAAATCAGTCGCAGTCGTCGATGTTTCATTGCCGGGTTTAGCAGCATTTTGTTGAACGTGATACGCTTCAGCCATTTCTGTATGACTTAATCCTTCGCCGGCGTGTTCATGTTGAAATTCATTCCATGGATTACTTGAGCTCGGTTTATCTGGTTCAAGATTTGCATCAGAATCAGTCGCAGTCGCTGGCATTGATTCATTATTATCGTTTGTGGGACCTTCAGATGAATTGTTTGTTTCGTTTATAGTAGATGTTTGATCATCGGATTGGGGTGTGTCTTGTTGAACATGATACATTTCAGACATTTCAGTAGAGCTCAATCCTTGACCCGCATGTTCGTGTTGAAAATCATTCCAAACATTTCCTGTACTTGCTTTATTTGACTCAGAATCAGTTACAGTTACTGATCCTGATTCATCACTGTCGTTTGAAGGGCTTTCAGGTAAATTATTTGTTTCATTTGCAGAATTTACTTCATTATTTGATTCTGTAGCATCTTGTTCCGCATGATACATTTCGGCCATTTCTGCATGACTCAATCCTTCGCCTGCGTGTTCATGTTGAAAATTGTTCCAAGGATTACTCGAACTTTCTTCATTTCCATCATTTGTATCAGGACTATCGGCGACTGATTGAGCCAAGTCACTATCATCGATAGAAAGAGCTTCATCCGGGTTATTCATTCCTTCTGTAGAAAACACTTCACTACTAGCTTCAGGTGCATCCTGTTCAGCATGATACATTTCGGACACTTCCGCTTGGCTTAGTCCTTCGCCAGCGCGATCATGTTGAAAATCATTCCAAGCGTTTGATGACATAGAGTATTTTGCTGATTTTTAGAAAGTTGTGAGTGAATAACGAACGACTAAATGGATTTTTCTTTTATTTATATACTTTCGTAGTGTCTCGATGCGCGTTAGATTGGAAATTCCCAGTGTCTTTTCTGTTCTTTCTTACACAATTGCTGCTTTTTACACTTTTTCACCCTTCTTTGAACATCACATGAAAGACAGAACAGCATAAGAATATATATATATTTCTTTAAACTCATTAAGACAATATTTGCTTTTTTATTGACACTTGTGCATAATTTAAAAGCAAAATGTACACTCAAATTATACAATACTGTACATGATTTTCGCTGATTTTATCATTCACCATATAACAATAATTCTGACTGTAATGGAAGAGTTGGTTGCCTTGAATATAATGTAAACTGACAGACAAGATCGGTTTCGATGAAAAGTAATGAACTGAACAGAAATCGAAAGCTAGTATCTTTAAATATCAATTGATTTAATTGGTCTAGAATATTTATTTAATCCTATTTCAGCTACCAATTCTTCCTTCCTTCTGATTTTCTTTCTTTTCTATATCATCTGTTCTCTTTTCTTTCACTTTTCTCCTTTTAATTTATAATATCTACTGTTATGACATTTATACTTAAGTGAGGGGTGTGGATAATTGTGAGTCTGTTCCTCAGTCATGCACCTACCCACATCTTAGTGTTACATTCATTAAAATGATTTGTGATCTCAAAATAAGAAAATGAACATTAAAAAAACCATTTCCACATTAAACAATATGTAAAAGCCATTAAAATTGATTCATTGGAAGGTCTTTGTTTTGAATAGACATTGAAATGTGATAAACAAGTCATTTTGCATGTGCTTTATTTCGATGGATTGAGTGATCAATACCCCTACAAAAAAGAAAAACATTTCATTTTTATTTTGATAATTTCAACGTAAAAGAAAAGAAATTTATTTTAATTGATGATCTATCGAATTGAAACGATCAAGTTTTTAGCATCTATTGGTTAAATTATTGATTTCTTTAAAATATTCTTGAAGAGAGATCTAACCACGATCCACAAATTGGCAATTCAAGAAATTCTAGAAATTCAAGAAAGACACATAAGATACTAACTCATAAGTTTACATTGCAATGGAATTCAAGAAAATCAAGCAATTCCAGAAATTCGAGAAATTTTCTTGAATTCCTTAAATTCTACCATACCGTTTACGAAGAAGATACCTTCACCGTCCTTCTCCAGATTGCTCTGGAATTCAAGAAAATCCAGCAATCCTAGAAATTCTAAAAATTTTCCTGAATTGCTTGATTTTCTTGAATTCCCTAAATTCTACCATACCGTTTACGAAGAAGATACCTTCACCCTCACTCTCCAGATTGCTCTGGAATTCAAGAAAATCCAGCAATCCTAGAAATTCTAAAAATTTTCTTGAATTGCCTGATTTTCTTGAATTTCAGTATAATGTTCAGGAAGAGGATGCCTTCACCCTCACTCTTGAGATTGCCTTGGAATTCAAGAAAATCAAGCAATTCTAGAAATTTTCTTGAATTCCTTGATTTTCTTGAATTTCTTGAATTCCTTGATTT